AAAGGCTGCCGTCACCAACGTGGGCAGCACCCCCTTCTGGGATCCATATTGTTAGACAGCTGGTAGAGCACTGGGTGAGGCGTGTAGAAAAGATGCTCAGTATTCCTCTGTGGAAGAAATGCCAACTTACAAAGGATGCCTGGTTGTTTGGGGGCCAAATCTTTGAAGCCAGGCAGTCACATGTCTGAGCACAGAGAATTGAGGTGCTGTTAATTGCACCCACAGCAATCCCTGTGGCTACTTCCTTTCCAGCCGAGCTTGAGGTCTCCCATGCAGTAATGCCTGCACCTGAATCACAACATTAAAGGCACACGAGATGCTGTTTTTGGAAGCAATGGGGTTTCAAGACAGGACATGTTGGTAAAATCCACTATCCAAGAGAGGAGAAAAGACATCAGGTTTGGCTGTCCTAAGAAGGTGAATAAGTTGCTAATCCCCCCAAAAAGAACTTTGTACAGCAGGGAAATATGTTGATAATATTTTAATCTGTGTGCTGTTTCCCAGAGAGTTCATCAAATTGGGAGCTTTTACTTTGTTTTAAAGAGACAATCTTAAAGAGAAGAATTGTTTTCTTTCACATCCCTCTGAAAAAGAAAGATGAGAGAAGTTATTTCTTGGCACGGTTACGACTTTGGCAGACCTAGCCACTGAAACCCAGGAGACTGTGGTACTTGGTGTACTCGCTGAAGAGAAGAAAACAATAAGAGCTCTTAAAAACTTTGCAGGAGGAAGAGGTTGATTCTACTTTTCTGAAGAAAATCTGTATAGTTATTCGACACCAGCTTGAGAGAAGGCTGAAAGGGAGCGATTTATTTTTCTGTTAAGCAATCCATATTTTTTGATGACCACTGTGCCACGTGCTGTGAACAGAGAAAAAAGTATAAGGTATGGGCCTTGCCCTCCAAGGAACTTACAATCTGTTTGACACTCCGTATCTACTTGATTTATTTTTTTATTAGAAAAGTACACTGGACCATATTGATTATAAAACAAAAGTTGAACTTTGGTTTTTTGCAAGTAGTGCCTTTTCATTCAGTTCTAAAGTCCCCTTTTCCTTCCTCCTCCTTTATTTTCTGGTCACAGTTTTTCCTCCCTGGAGCGCCACTGCTCTTGGCCTTCATGTCTTTGAGCCCCACGAGGTTCTATGAGAAGTCAAGTGCTCTGGACTGGTCTGAAGCATCCCTTGAGTGCCACCTGGAACATGGCTCCAAACTCTAGAGCCAGACTGTGTGGATTCAAACCCCAGCCCCATCACTTACCAGCTGTGTAACCTTGGGCAGGTGGCTACCCCTCTCTGTGCCTCAGGTGCCTCATTTATAAGATTGGCACAATAATCGTATCTGTCTCACACGGTTAATGTGAGGCCGAAACGACTGAATATTTTCAGAGCTTTAGAAAACTGTCTGGTACTAAGTGCTATTTAAGTGTTTGTTAAATACAGTTGATCTTCATTAGTCGCAGAGTCCATATTTGCAAATTTGCGCACTTGCTGAAATTTATTTTAACCCCCAGATCAATGTCCATGGGGCTGTCACTGTCACGTGGACATATGTAGAGTGACAAAAATTTGAGTTGCCCGATGCCCACGTTCCCTGCTGAGCTTGAGGAAAGCAGTGATCTGCCTGCTGGTTCCAGCTCTCCTTCTGTCAGTGTCCCTTCCATGGTCTATTTACTTCGTGGCATGGTGTTCTGTGCTTTCTGTTGGTGATTTTGCTCTTTGAAATGGCACCCAAGTTTAATGCTATGGTGGTGTTTAGTGTTCTAAGCTCACGAAGGCTGAATGCCTTGTGGAGAAAAAGACATGTGTTAGGTCAGCTTCATTCAGGAGGCGTGAGTTGTAGTCCGCTGGCCAGGAGCTCAATGTTAATACATCAACAATACATGTTAAATAAGGAGTCTTTCAAAGGAAACACAGAGATAATAAGGTTATGTTTGGATCAGTTAACGAAAATCTTATGACCAGCAGCTCTAGGAACCTAATCGTGTATTTCCTCTAGGAGCAATGGTTCAGTATTTTCTCATTCATTGCTTGTGGAGACTTCATAGAACACAGCTAGCTACCTTGAATAATGAGACTTGACTGTAGATGAATGAAGTCCAAGAGCTCAGAGTGGCAGCCTCTTCTAGGGCAAGCTCCCGACTGACTGCAGGGGATCTCTCTGGAAAGACAGAAGCAGCAGAAATAGTTCTGGCCATGTGGAGTGCCTCAGCTGGGCACAGATTTTCTATCAGATTTGCAAAAAAGATAACATGTAACCACATTTGGTCTCTTATAAGCATACATTGTTATAGAAGAGCCATCTGGAAATAGTAAATGTTCCCCCCTCCCCTACAAATTCCTAATTCAAGAGTATTTCCCTTCATCTTCGAACGTACATAAGAGTTGGTAGAGAAAGTTTGATACTCAAAACCTGTAAATTGAAAGCTTTTATACACCCAGACAATAGACCTCATAGTGTAGGGTATAATGTTGGTTATACTTAGCAATTCTCCTGTTTGCTGGGCGCACTGGTCTTTTCAGAAGGGGATCATTTTGTCCCTTCTGATTGAAAAGATGACAAAAAGCTTCAATTTGGTGAAAAGCTTTGACAACATATTTATTTCCACCCCTCCCCCCCCCAAACTCTTACTTTATGAAATGTTTGCAAATTGTTTCACACATACAGCCTATGAGAATGTGAAAGTGATTCAGAAAAGGGAACACTTGACTTAAAAGGACTGGAAAACGTAAATGGAAGGGAACAAAGGGAACCTGGGGCAGTGTGGCCCACAGAATACAATAATAGGCCTCTAGCCTCTGATTTCGGCAATTTCCAGGTTTTCACGACTTTAAACAATGTCTCAGCAAACACTCTCCTCAGTACATTGTTGCATATTTCAGTGCATTTGTTCAGTACATAATGAGTGTCTTCTGTGTATGTCAGGCACTGGAGTAAGTCCTAGTGTACACTGCTGAATAAAATAAGCATGAGTCCTACTTCCCCAGAGCTTATTGCCTCATGGGGTAGGCAATCTGGTGGGGAAGTTAACTAGGATGAATTAATTCCTAGAAGTTGGAAATTTAGGGTCAATGGCTATGCTCTTTTAAGTGTTAATTCATCTTGTCAGATGACGCTCTTGAATAGCTGTACCAAATCCCACTGGTCCCGACACCCACACCAACATCGGTATGGTTATTCTTTTTAAGTCTGTGCCAATCTGATAGATGAAATGAGATATCACACTTGCAATTTGCATCGCTTTGTTTTCACTGAGGTTGAGCATCTTTTCATGGGCATATTACCATTTTTGTTCCTCCTTTTGTGAATTTGCCCTTTTGTAATTAGGGTGATTTTTTTTTTCCCCTCATTGAACTGGGTTATAAATTTAAAATATTAATCCTTTTTCATATATATATTTCATATAACTATTTCTTCATTTTTGGTTAACTTGATTTATGACCTCTGGTACTACACACAAATTTTATATTGTTATGCAGTCAAATATGTCAATATTTTCCCCTTTGATTTATTTATTTAACAAAAATAGTGCTAAGTGCCAGGGCACTGTTATATGTTTTTCACAAATATTATTTAATCTTCAGTACAACCTTATGAAGTAGGTATTGCTGTTAATCCCACCCCGAACACACACATTTTTTTTTTTTAAGATGAAGCAACTAGGTAGAGAGAAAGAAGCTGAGTACTTTGACTAAGGTTACCTAGCTAGTAAGTGGTAGAGAATATGAACCTAGTCCCAGGGTCTGATGCTAACCACGGTGCCCTACCACCTCTGGCCGTGACATACGCTGTGTTTGTTTGTTGTTGCTTTATAAATGCTCACGGAGTCTTCCCCAATCCTGGAGGGCAAGTGCCATGTCTTTGGTTTCTCCTGGTTCCTTCCCAGACCCCTCCACACAGTAACTGGGCATAGAGTGGCTACATGCCTAATAAATCCTTGTTGACTGAATGAATTGACTAAATCTGGATTCTGGGTCATCAGCTCACACTTGTGTTTATGCTCAAAGAGGAGTTGACAGGTTCTATATTTCCATTTTGCCTCCAGCCAGCGACTTGATAAGCTCAAGTTTGGTTGGTTAGAGCACCTGAGATAATAATGCACATCACCCCACTGGTTCAGCTGTATTTTCCCTCCCCACACACCCTTCCTTCCCTCTTCAAGGAAACTTCCCGGCTGTATTCCCTGTTGCAGAAATTCTAATAAGCCTTTCCCAGGCTACCCTCAGAACCTGTCACAGAGGCACCAAGAATGCACAAGAGGAAAACCCCCAGAGAGGTTGATGCTTGGCCAAGTCTGAAACTCACCAAGAGGTGAGGGTCTTCCAGTTGCGGTGCGGGGCATTTTCCTGCTGCATTGACAAGAAGGAAGTAAGGAGGTGGGTTTTTTTTGTTTTTGTTTTTTTTGTTTTATCATTACAGAGAGCAGTCTCATGTTATCTCAAAGAGACTCTTAGTCACCCATGATTAAGGAGTTATCTTTGACCATCGTCTCTCCCTTTCTTCTCATATTCAATCATTGGACAAATCCTCTTACTTGTTCCTTTGAAGGCTCTTGTGCATTCACTTTTTTCCAGTCTCAGTGACTTTTCTGTAATTCACTGGGTCTCAAAGTATGGTCCATGGGTCAGCAGAGGCAACCATCACCTGGGAGCTTGCTTGTGAGAGATGTGAATTCTCAGGCCCCATCCTGGACCTACTGAATCAGAAACTCGGGGGTGGGGTCCAGCAAGCTGTGCTTTAATAAGCGCTCCAGGTAATTCTGAGGCACGCTCAGGTTTGAGAACTACTGCTTTAACAGAAACCACTCCCTCTTTATTATTAGGATATTATAAATCTAATAGGTGTTCATTGTAGAAAATTTGGAAAATATAGACAAGTATGAAAGAAGCAGGCAAAAAAAAAATCCCATGACTACCACTCAGAAGGAACCACTATTTTAATATTTTAGCATTTTTTTCTAACTTTAAAACAACACATGAAAAAATAATCTTTATTCTCCTTTGTATGGGTTACTGCAATGCTTTTTGAGTGGTTCTGCCTGCTTTTGGTCTTCCATTTTCTCTTTTCTTCTCCCAAAATTCATCCTGGATCCATGATCTCCTCCTCCCCCTCCCCCTCCTCCTCTGAATTGAAATATACTTGACATACAACACTGTGTGCAAGTTTAAAGAGTACAATGTATCGATTTATTTATGTTGCAATATGATTGCCATTGTAGCCTTAGCTAACACCTTTATCATGTCACATAATTACCATTTTTTGAGTGTTGGGAACAATTAAGATCTAGTCACTTTGCAAGTTTAATGTTTATAATACAATTTTGTTGTCTATAATCACTGTACTGTGTATTAGGTCTCCAGGACTTATCTATCTACTAGTTGCAAGCCATTCTTCTTTTTAAAAGCATGTTTCTGATAGTGCAACTTCTTGGACCCAAAAATATTTAATGGTTCCTCTTGTCCTCTGAATTAGTGCATATAAACTGCTCACCTAAGCATTCAAGGATATATTGTGATATGGTGTTTCCATTCGTACCCACTAATATGCGTGTTCCATAAAGCACAAAAACCTTGTATCTGTGGCACCTAACATAGTCCCTTGGTAGGCACTCAGTTCTAAGTATTTGCTCAATGAACGAATGCATCTTCTAATCCATCAGGTCGCATCTGATATATCTACATGTGCCATTCATTTCTCCTACCTGGAACAGCATATGCCTGGGACCCATCCTAGGAGATTCTGATCCCTCAGGTGTGGCATCCTGGGTATCCCTGGTAGAGAAGCTCAGGTTTAGAGCCCCATTTCCACCCATCTTTATTAGATATCCTCTATCCAAAGTTATCTCCCTCCCCTCCCCAGTCCTGTTGTACCAGGTGGTTCCACCATGCCCCTTGCTCTCAACTCTTAGGAGGGGAGAGCAGGAGAGAGGGGTCACCTGACTCAGGCTAAGCCAATCAGATGATTTCCCTGAGAATTTGAACTATGTAGTGGAAGACTGAGGCAGTCTGAAGGTGGTGGGTGCTAAAGTCAGAAGGTCCTTTGGACTTTGTGCTAGCAGCCATGTGTGGTCCTAAGCCAGCAGAGAAAGCCAACCTGCAGGGAGCAGATATAGAGAGGTAGGAAAGACAGTGTGGAGAGAGGAACTACCTGATGCTTTCTCAGTTTCTGTGCTGCCTGCACGGGACTGACCCAAGTTCTCTCTTATGTTCCAGTTTGAAGGATCTTTGATCAGGAGACCCATCTTTCCAGGCCTGCCTCAGATTCCTCCTCCTTTTTGACAGTTCCTCAGGTCTTCCCACCTACTGCAGACACCCTCTCACTACTCATCTATTCAGTTATTACTGCCTCGAGCTGGTGTACAGGGCTTTACTCTGAACTATTCCATAAATAATCATATTGGCCAAATAACCAGTGATGGGTAGGGGCTTTAATGTTCCAGGGCAGAGAAGCATGTTGGAGACGAAAGCACAAAACATCAAAAGGGGCATTCCTCTCCACAGAGGAGGAGCCTCAGGTCCCACGCTGACTGGGGACTGACCGGGCTGGAATCTGGGTGCTCCTGCTCCTAGATACTTATGTGCACTCCGTCCCCTATCCAGACGAGGCTGCAGAATGGTCCCATCAAGTCCCCATTCAGGAAATAAGTGTAGCTCATAGTGAGCTCTAAGGCACACATAAGGTTCTGCTGCCAAATGTGTTTTTAAACACTTCTACTTGTTTCTTTGAGACTTCTCAGGGTCTAAGGCACAAAGATACTTTTTGAAAAGTTCGAGACGGGAACTGAGAACAAGGTTGTTCCTAAATGAATTTGGCCCCTGCACCTTTTTGCCAGGGAGCATGTCCCAGAGCTGGGGTTCTATAGAATTATAAGGTGGAAAAGCCACGCTAAGCTTTCCTGTGGCTTTTAGGAGAGGTCTGGATCCCCCATTTCAGACAGACAGACAGACAGGCAGACGGACATGTGCATTCTGCTCTCCACATCAGTCAGGGCGGGTCCATCACTTCAGGGTGCTGCCTTTCCACATCTCCTCCTACATTTGTAATGGGAGAGAGAAATGAACAAGTATGCTTGAGAATGGAAGAAATAAAAAAAAAAACACACGCAAAGGAAAAGAGAGGTGAGCTAATAAAAGCAGCTTACCTCACCATACTCCACCCTCTGCTTATGGCTTCCCCTGGCCCAGGACTTGCTTGCTGATCTTTTAAGTTTTTGTCCACCTAAGATGGCTGGTTCAGTCACTGGAGGTTAACAGCCTGCACGGAGAGTTTTAAGAAGGACATGTTCCATGTGCAGTAACCTTCAGCTCACATCCTCTCATCTTACACCCCGAGGAAGAAGGAAAGTGCTGGGGTGAAAAGAACAGGCCGCCTGTGCTTAATGTAAAGAGATTTCTAGCCATGGTGTAAGTGTGGTTGGGGAAGGGGCGGGCTGGTAACTGATGATGGAAGGGGGACTATTCCTCACCCAGCCTGTAAGGTGCTAGGACAAAGGTCTCTCATTTTGGTTCCTTTGATGGGACATTGAGCACGCTAAACTGATATGCTGATGAGGGGTGGGACCTGCACCAGACCCAGCTCCTGTCCTGGTTTTTGTTAGACTTCAGAGATGATCTAGTTTGTTTCTCTTACCTCAGAGTTTTTGCTTGGTGGCTTAGGGTAGGTCACATCAAGTGCTCAGTAATTAATGGGGTGGGACTGACTGACCTCAGGCTGCCCCTGAGCCTCCCCCTCTGAGTCATCTCCTGATTGGGATTTGCCATCGTTACTGGTAAGTAAGGAGGCCTGTGGTGAATGTCCTTGCTCAAGATTTACCACCCACCATCTTGAAGCTTTGTGAGGGGGAATGACTCTTAGATTGATTGGGGTTTCCTTATTTTTTAAAATTAAAAAAAAAATAAAAAATTCAGACTCCTGTGGGACTTTTCTCCACCTTTGGCTAGGTTTCAGTGTACTGAAGGCTAGAGGGGTTTCTGAGGGAGATCACTCCCCACCTTATTGGTTTTTTTTCCCCTGTAGTTTTCAGATAGCTCAAAATGGCCTGTCCACTGGCTCAGGTGAGTTCAGGTAGGGGTGGCAGGAGTGACTTGGACTTCTCTTCTGTGGAGGAACCTACTGATTTGGCTACCTGGGAGTGTTGTGCAATCATATTTTTATTTATGTCGCCACCAGGGTGTCCTGTTGGACTCTCCTTTCATCCTCTCTAAAGGCAGCCTGCTTGGTGTGGCTTGAGCAGTGGGCGGCTGTTCTTTGGAGCTTGATGACTTGGAGTGGTGGCTGTGTCCTTTGCTGGGTGGTCTGCAAATTGTCGGGTTCTTGAGAGCTCAGAATGTGAAGGAGGTGAAGCTTGTTTTCGCTAGAGGTTTAGAAGTAGGTCGGGGCCTTGAGCTCAACACGCTGGAGGAGGCCCCACCGGCGTGGCCTTTAGGGACAGGCCTCTTGCTCTGTAGTCTGTAATGGCCACCCTCCCTCCCTTGGCAGACAGGCGCCGGCAAACGACTGGAGGAGCGGCCACCTGAGCCGGAGGCTGCAGCGCCTTTGTGCCTTCCCTCCTGGGGCACGAGGTGGGCCCTGGAGGATGGCTGGGGACAGCCCTGGGAGTCCCGCCAGGGCGCCTTAGCTGGGGAGAAGTGGCATCTCTTCTCCCCCTCGCAAGCCTCGCCTGCATCGTAATTCTTTTTATTTTTACTTTCGAGCCATGTAAGGCGTGCAGATGGGGCAGCAGCGTTCCGGCGACGCGCTGCCAGCGGCTGGAGCTCGGGGAAGAGACCGGCCCCACCGGCCCCGTCGCCCACGGGCGCGGGCGCTCCGGGTGGCGGGGCCCCGAGCGGGTCCCCCCGGCCCAGCGGCGCCGCAGCCGGCGAGTCCTGGC